GGCAGCTACACACTTACAACTGTCTCTGGAAGTGAAAGCACCAGAAAATAACTTAAGTCATTCGCAGCTGTCATCCGTACGCAAGGAAGTAAGCACAAGATGCCGAACACCCTTAGCAGGATGCAGCGCACCCTTCATGCGACTCGCCGAATATCTCACGGCGCTTCGCGCTTGGTGATGTGAGAGCCTGGTCCGGTGAGAACCCGGCGTGCTCCGTCCCGGCTTTTGCAGGGATGCGAGGTCAATGGTCCAACGACTACGGCATGCACGACGATGAGTACAACACCCCCCCCTAGGTTGGTTTCATGATTGATCCACGGGGCTCGGCCCAGCGGGAGTGCTTGCTGTGTCGTGGAACTCTCTCTCTCCCGCCGCGTCCTGATCGTGTCTGCTGTCCTAAAAACAAGTGATACCATCATTGTCAACACACATAAAAGGGTATACTCACTCTAGAGTGAATCCCTCGAGGGAACCTGTGCTGGAACTGAGTGGCGCCGACGTTGCAACAGAGGATGCCAACGTCACCGCAAGTACGCAGGGTAGGGTTGACAACCTGGAAAGCAAAGTTTCAGGCCTAACGGACGAGGTACAGCAGCTGGCGGGGCTGCTCCGAGCCGCCCTCGGAAAGTTGGAGAAGGAGGGGGAGTCCGGCGGGGCTGGGGTGGGCGCTGTCATTACGGGTGCTGCGCCCACCCGCGGTACCCAGGAGGGGGGGCCACAAAACGAGGGAATCACGCCGCCCTCAGACCCGGCGGTTGAGCCGGTTGGCGGATGTGACAGGGGATCGCTCGTATGGCCAAGGTGAGACAGCGAGGCGCATGGCGGTGGTATTTGCGGTTTTGGCGGACTCGTCGGATAAGGAGACAGTTTTCACCAGAACCCGTTTAGCAAAATGCGTGTGTCATTGCACGCGCCGCGGCTCGAAGGCGGCTTCCTCGTGGAGGAGAGCCTATATATACAGGCTGCTAAAACGGTAGACATGGACGGTCAGTTCGTAGGGGCCACGGAACGCCCAGCCGGACGTCGGGGACATGGATAAACCCAAAGCTACGTTGCTGGCAGAGGGGTACTTCGAGGCGCAGATCCACCGCAGCCTCCAAGCTTTCCACTTTCTGTCCTCGGCCCTGGAGAGAGAGCCAGACAAGGCCGTCTTCCGGACATGTGTGACGCCGAAGCAGGCGTTGGACGAACTCGACAAGGTGCACAACCCGGAATCGCAGGTCGCCACACAGGAGTTGCTCAGCAAGTTTCAGAACTTCGCAATGGCGGCCGACAAAAACCCGACTGAATCGTTTATCGCCATGGAGCAACTCGCAAGTCGTCTGAACGAGAGGGGGGTCAAAGCCGAGGCCCCTTGCGTTCTGTCGCTCTTACTATCGGCCCTACCGGCCGAGCACGACCACGCCAAACTGACTCTGCAGTCCGCCCTGACTCCGGGCCGGGGGGTAGGTCATCAGAGTGGTGGGCTTCCAGCACTCCAGCATCAAGCGGGGGAAGAGCCATCGGAACGGCAACCGCAATCATCGCAAGGCGTCTGAGCAGGGATTACTCGTGAGCGTCGACAATGGCGGTGGCGGAAAAGCTGGTCGCAACCGCGGCCGCGGGGGACACGGCGGCGGCGTAAACCGCGGCAATGGTGGCAATGACGGCAATGGCGGCAACGGCAACGGTAACGGCGGTGGAGACGACCGCAGTGACGGCGGCCGTCGCAGGGACCGGTGCTACCGGTGCCAGGCGAGAGGGCACCAGTCGTTCTCGTGCGCTACACCCGTCGCCGACTTCATGACCCAGTGCGAAAACTGCGACGGGTATGGACACGATAAGAGCAAGTGCCCGTCCGCGAAGGACGAGGAGGAGGCGAAGGGCGAGACGGCGGTCATGGCGGTTGCGGTGGCGAGCGATGACGAGGAGCTGGACGTGGCACGTGAGGCCTTGCGAGAACAGGCGGGGGGGAGACGCTAAAGTCGCGAGGGTCATCGCGCGCGCTCCATCTACCATTGCAGCAGCGTGGGAAGGGTGGAGACACGGAAAAACGGCCGAAAGGCCGTGGGCCCATAGCCGCGACGGCAGGGGCGAGAGGGGGGGGGGCATTCACAGAACACGGCGAAAAGGCCGTGTGCCCACAGCCGCGACGGGAGGGGCGCGGGAGGGCAACAATCAATGCACTCCCATGGCGCGTCGGGAGGGCGTGGGGGGGAGGTAAACATTAGCCCCGTGGCGCGCCGGGCGGGGCGCGAGGGGGGAAAACGTCTAAGGCCCCATGGCGCGTCGGACGGGGCGTGAGGGCGGGGGGGTGTACTCATCGTCGTGCATGCCGTAGTCGTTAGACCATTGACCTCGCATCCCTACAAAGCCAGGACGGAGCACGCCGGGTTCTCACCGGACCAGGCTCTCACATCACCAAGCGCGAAGCGCCGTGAGATATTCGGCGAGTCGCATGAAGGGTGCGCTGCATCCTGCTAAGGGTGTTCGGCATCTTGTGCTTACTTCCTTGCGTACGGATGACAGCTGCGTATGACTTAAATTATTTTCTGGTGCTTTCACTTCCTGAGACAGTTATAATCACTGTGTAACTGCCTCGAGGGTGCTTGACCATTTTAACACAACGTGGTGCGATCATCCCCCTTGCGCGGAGTGAGGGTTCTCGACCCCGCACAACATGATCTACTCGACCGCCATTATGGTTACCGCCAAAAAGAAAACAGAGGTGAAAAAACGACCAGTAACCTGGTTGCCGAGTTCACGAAGTGAATTGGCTTGTTTTACAACGTCGTTGCCAAGCGACGAAAACCCAATCCCGATGGCAAACACCGTGCATGCCGTCGTTAGACCATTGACCTCGTATCCCTACAAAGCCGGGACGGAGCATGCCGGGTTCTCGGACGGGGCGTGAGGGGGGAGAAAATCGGAGCAGCCCCGTGGCGCGCCGGAAGGGGCGTGAGGGGGAACCCCGCGGTACGTCGGAAGGGGCGTGGGGGGAGGGTACTTGCATCGTGGTGCTTAAACGGGAACTTCTTTTCTGGCGAGGCTGCAGGCCGGGACGAGCGCTGGGAGGGGAGCAACACGCATCACAGTGCTGGATTGGCGCTTCTTTCTTGACGGTATTTGGTGTTTGATAGTATTCGTAGCGAAGTTGGTAATCCTCGTTAGTTGTCATGAGTGCACTTTGGTTGAAGAGCCAGGGAGGGTGTTCCGTGTTTCTCGGAGGCGTTCGCGTCCACATGTTCATGTATTTTCCTGTTAGTCATTTGGTTGAAACCCTGATTGATTGTAGCCACGTCGGGCCGGCCTCTAAATTTAGGTTGTGAAATATGCAGGAATATGGGATATTGTTGGAACCGCTGAAGGAACGTGTGAAGAACAATTGGGACACCAGTTTAGTACGTCCACGAGAATAGAGGAGTGTCGAAAAATGCATGCCGGATATGTGTCGCTCAAAAAATGTTGGATGATTGCCTCATGCCCCGGTGCGCTGTGTTACGTCAGCGAGGGGGGGCGATTTCGATGTTTGTCTGATGTTTGATTGAAGAACAGACAGTAGCGCAGCCGCGTGGAAGTTGTTTGAACCAACTCCTCAGGATAGTCGTACGCTACTATTGCTTGCCAACAGTTGGGATAGGGCGTCTGATGGAACGGTGAATATTGGGTGGGGGTTTTGACCCGGAGGCCGGGTTTCCCCCTGTTGTTTTTTTTGCGTTGGTTTTTGTCCGTTTGGTTTTGTCACACCCGGCGTGTGCATGCCCCACTAGTGCTTAGTTACTAGCGTAAGGAACCAGGGAGGGTGTTCGTGTGTGCATGAGCGGATGAGAATAATCCAACGGGACTGTAGGAAGTGGCTACGAAGATAGGAATTGATAGTCCCCTGGGTTGGTTTCATGGTTGATCCACGTGGCTCGGCCCTGCGGAATTGCTTGCTGTGTCGTGGCACTCTCTCTCTCCCGCCGCGTCCTGATCGTGTCTGCTGTCATAAATACAAGTGATATCATCATCTTCAACAGACATACAATGGTGTACTGACAGGGTGCGGGTTAGAGGTAGGGTGTGGGTTGGGTCAGTCGATCGGTCGATCGTTTGGACGGGTTGGTGTTGGGTTGGGGTTGGGTTGTGTAGGATATAGGGTAGAGTAGGTTGGACTCGGTCGGTCGGTCGGCCGGCCGGTCGGTCGCCTGATTCGAACGGACTCCTTCGTGGTCGCTCGGCTCCTGTGCGTCACCTTTCTATCTACATGTTTGTGGCGGAGTGTTTTTGCGCGTTGCCATGTTGCTGAGTGGTTCTTTGGAGAGGTCTTCATTGGTTCATTGGGGCGTCGTGTTGGTAAAAAGTGCCGCCTTGCATGTTGCAGTCGGTTCACTTGGGATCAGTCGGATTGTGGGGGTTGTTTTCTTGCTCAAAGTGTTGATGGGTTCGTCTTTACCCGACCGACCGTGTCCGATTGGGTTGAATAATTGGGTTGGGTCGGGTTGGATTGGGTCGGGTTGGCGGGCTGGGTTTGGTTTGGTTGGGTTATTGGTTTTGGTTTGGTTTGGTTTGGTTGGGTTGGGTTGGGTTGGGTTGGGGTTGGGTTGGGGTTGGGTCGCCGCCGTCGATCGCGCCGCCGTCGCTTCGTCGTTCGTCGCCGTTGGGTTAGGTTGGGTAGGGTAGGGTAGGGTGGGTGTGGTTGGGTAGGGTTGGGTCGGTCGGTCGGTCGGGCGGCCTTGGGCCGCCGTCGTCGATCGCTCTTGTTCTAGAAAAATAAAATCGCAGCAAGGGAACAAGTGCTCGCTATCGTAAAAACAACAGACTGATTGACTGCTTTGTTTGGTGGGACGTGCCTATTGTTCAATCCGACTAGGGCCGCAAGGATCGCCACCAGCTGCACGAACGATGAGCAACCCGCCCCCTGCCCTGGGGATCGATGGCTCAAGAAAGCCGTGTGGGCAAAAACAACAACGAATCCAGCGTGACAAAAAATTCCAAGGGAAATAAAAAAAAAATGGAAAAAAGGGCCGGAACACATAAACACTAACGCCAGGTTTATGTTGGCTATTCCCTCGACATCGACTCCAACGGCGTGTGGTCTCAACGATACTGCTGCTGTACGAATGCCTGCAGCACACGCTCGTTGTGCGAAGGTGGCCGCTGTTGGCTTCTCTGGCATCCGCCCGACGCCCGACATACAACGCCGACAGCAAACAAAAAGGCCCGGATTTCTCGGAAGTTTCGGACACAACAACCAAAACGAAATCGGCGTGTGTTTCTGGCTTGCGGTCGCGGGCAGTGCTCAGAGCCGCAGCGGCGGGGGATGTTGCCTACAGCCGACATGTGCTATCTCTGGGTGGATGTACGGCAGCAGTGACAGCTTATATATCGTGAATGTGCGGGCAGTGTATTCGATCATGGATGGATACATACACGTAGATACAAAATACGTACAGATGTGCGGCGTGCGGGCTAACGTATGCGTAACCAGCTGAAAGAGCCAGCCTACTCTGCTGCATTTGAGAAGACACTTGGGATACAGATATCATACACCTCGGAGGAGCAGCAGGGGATTCGCTCTGCCACTCCGTCTAACCACTCACCGAAGACGAAACCGGACCAGCAGAAAGCTGCAGCCGACGCACACCATGGTCAGGTAGCAGGCCAGCAAAGCCGAGCCCAGGAAGCCCGGTAGCTCCATATGTATGTCCGCCCTTCACTACACCACTTAATTCAACAATTTCACTCGGTGACGTCCTTCCTCGCCGTCTCTACGTAATGATCGTCAGAGCACACAGGCGTCAATCGACGGCTTTCACCGACAGCTCTGGTTGTGCATGTATTTACCACATCCAGCTTGAAAGTCGTGCTGGGTGAACGGATGTGTGGGGTGGTGTGATGTGGTGGTGCCACAAGTCAGGTGCATGTTCCCTCGCCACTAGGGGCAACGCAGATTGCACTAGTGACATGCGGGGGGTGCATTTATCCGGAGTTCCCCACTGGTTGTTGTTGGTTGTGTGCTTCTGCTGCCTGTCTGTCCGAACAACAACAGGGCGGGAGGCAAGGGGTTCTACTCTGTGTTTGCCACACATTGCGAGGAAGGATGAGCTGGGCAACACCAGCTGACGACAACCCCTTCGCCGTGAGTGCTTGTTGTGGACCGATGTTTCCACTCCCTTTGTGTGATTGTTTTCCCTCGCTGTAAACCGAGCAGGCAGTCCTCTTGTTCTTGGATCCCCCCGATTGAGCCCTCCCATCGGACAGTTTACCCAATAGCAGTGGCTCGCTTAACACCCTTGATTCAGGCCGCCGCCATTGCTGCGAACACAGAAGGTGTTTTTGGTCATTACATTCCTGTGCCGAAGGCATGTGTACGGGAACTGAAGCTCTCTTTGAAGAATGTCGGCATTCTAGGGCCGCACCGATTAATCAACTATTAGTGTGGCATCGGTTCCGCCGTTCGCGCACATCTCGCTGCTGTGTAGCATCGCATAGAGGAGCACTTGCTTTGCTTGTGATGCCCACTAGCGAAACAGACCGAGTTTGTTCATCGAGGGAGCGTGAGTCTTCTGCCGCCACGATCGTAAACGGCCATGCCACGACCCACAATCTTTTATCACTTTGGCCTGAGCGGCAACGATCATAAAGCAGATTTTTTTGTAACCTCATGCAGGCTTTTTTGAACGGGTCAGCTGCCACCTGCTGTGCAGCGGTTCTTGGCAGTCGGCGTAGCGGGGTTCCGTGACGCGCCATGTATGCATACAGCAGTGGTAGTGTACTAATGTGGGGCTTCAGTCCCGCAATAGTCGCTGGCGGTTGGGTGTGACTTTGGTTTTGGCAGGGTTGTATTGATAGTGTCGGTTGGTGCCGCCGTCGTTTCTCTCCGAAGGTCAGTAACGCTGAAAGTCCAAATTGAGACACTTTCGGGACACAGCACTCAAATGCCTCTTTACCGCACTGCTGTAGTCACCCTAGGCTCCGCTGTGTGCAATGCACGCGAGAACCCTTGATCTATCGTGCTTGGCTGAGGTGGTACGCTGCGTGATATGCTGTGTGACGCTTCTCCTGGGCGTCTGACTTGCTGTACACATCTCCCAACCCGCGTACCCCCTAAATCGTAAAACTGTACCATCGTACTGGAAACATTTGCTGACTTGGCTTCAGTATCAAAAATGTCCCCACGTGTTTTGGGGACACTTTTGATACTGAAGCCAAGTCACCCTTTGTCTGACAAGGAGCTCAGATTCTTTGGAGGGACTGTAGCCCCTTCGACCATTTGGCTGACAAACATTTTTTCGACAATTTCTTTTTGCCGAGGGACTGGATGGTATGTTTGTGTGCATCATAAGCATGTATGCATAGCTTGACAAGCCTGAACATGTCATGGATTCACACGCACAGATCGTGGCCTTTATTATAAACATTTTTTGTTCTCAGCCGCACTCAGACTGACGTCTGTTCGTTGGTCACCCAGTGATGTAGCGCGATGCATGCTTGTAACACAGACACCTGCGTGGCCCCCAAGTATAGGGTTTAGTATTTGGGATCCTATTGTACTGGTTTTAGCGTTGGAGCGCCCAGCGTACTTGGTTTCGTACAGGTGCGGCTAAGCGCGTACACGCCCTCCGTGTGGTTACATAGAACGATGTTTGTTTGCGTTTTTTTCCCGCTCAGACTGCCGTATTTTCATGGTCAGCCGGTTGGCGCGGTCGACGCTACTGAAGGAGACACCCCGGCTCCTAAAATAAAAAAACAGCGTTATATAAGGGAAAAGCGATTCGCAAACCAAAAGAAACTACAAAGCATTGCAAGCGGGTAGGCTGCTGTGCCAAATATTCTTGTACTTCTGCTGCAGTGCACATCCTTCGCAGCTTTCCCGTTGAACTGTACTTTTCGACAAGAGATCCAACGCCAGTCCCCTCGAGCTTCATTCACAACCTGCCCCCCTCCGTTGCCGCCTAATGCATCATCTTGTGTGTTTATCTGTGTTTCCCTCACACAGGACCCTTCGGTTTCTGCGGCGCAAGCCGGCGGCGGCGGCGGCGGTGGCGCGGCTCGGGGGTACGACAACTCCGCGCCATCCTGGTTAGGCGGCGGGGCGGGGTCGGGGGCGGGGACGGGCGGGGCTCAGCCGCCGCCGCCACCGCCGCAGGCGCCTTCGGCGCCGGGGATCGGTGGCGGGTTGCCGCAGCAAGCTGCTGCTGCGCCGACGGCAGCCGAGCTGGAGCGGCAAGCGTGAGTGCGGGCTGAGGCAGGGGACGGGGTGTTGTCTTGGTCGTGTTGCGAAGTGTTCCCGGGAATACGTTCTTGCGGATGTGTTTGTTGTGTGCTTTTTTTGTTCACCGGTGTTGGTCTTCTGTGCGTGTTGGCGTTGGACCCTCGCAAGGCACCACTGCTGCTGCTGCTGCTGCTGTCGCAACTTCAAAGCTTCTTCGAAGCCGCACTTTCGAGGAAGTCTGGGGTGGTTGGCGCCTCGACCTACTCCGCCAACAGCATGGTTTTTTCGCTTGCCAAAAGGCGAGAACTCTTCTTCTGTTATATCTCCTGGTGAGGCTGGTACGTAGCGAGAGCCGTGCAGGTGCACGCTACACCACGGCCGTCGAACAACGCCTACAGTACAACCCTTCTCTTCTCTCTCGTTCTTTGTTCGCTTCCTTCGCCCTCTGATCCCTTTCTCCCTCCTCTGCCCCCCCCCCCCCCCCCCCCCCCCCCCCCCCCCCCCCCCCCCCCCCNCTCCCCGCCAATCACTCCTTCGTTTACGTTGGGGTTGACCGCTGCCCAACCTCTGTATTTTCATGGTGCTGCTGTGCTGGCCGACCGTCGTCGGGGAGCAGAAAGGTGCCGCAGCTCATGATCTACATGCGCGTGGCGAACATCGCGCTCTGCGGCATACTCGGGGCGACCGCTGTCTTGAAGCTGATTGGTGCAGGGGTCGACGTGGCGGGTGCGGTCCTGGCGTGCTACCTTTGGTGAGTCGACTTCCTGTCATCAGGCCCCTCGCCGCCGTATGCCTGCGTACCGCAGGTGGCGTCGAGATTTCCAAACACACCCGGTGGATCGTTTTGTTTGTTTTTTAAATCGATTTACTCGGTACCGAAAACGGCGAGGTGGCTTCGAATTGCTACGATGGAACCGTCTCTTGGAGAGCTTTCCGAAACGTGTTCTTTGGGTGTGGCATCCCCTTGGTCGTGAACTACATAACCGAGCTTTGACTATCAACCCTGGGCGTGTGGCATCTTTTGCATCCTTCGGCGGTACCAATGTGATTTGAGCAGTGTTTTCTAGTGGCACGAGTAGGTGAGAACCTTCTCGAACCCTCCTTGCCCGGCAGTTGTTGTGACCGGAAGGAGCGCTAGTCCTTTCGCCTTTTGTTTTTGTCTCCATTGCCTCGAAATATAGACGTCTACCGTACGTTGACGCTGCACTCACAACCGCAGAGGCCTTGCAATGCCTTGGTGCACATGTCGCCTTTGGTCAACACCGACCGGAGAAAGAGATGCTGTAGATGAGATGACTGTCTTTTCGTGTCCAGGGCAGGCTTGTTTTTCTCTCTGTGCCTCCTGGCGTGATTTGCGGAAAGGTTTGCCGTGCTCCCATGCATCACCATCCGTTTTGAGTACAATGTGCTTACTTCACCGTCTTCTCGTACCCACCGTCCCCTCTGCTCTGCGCAACCCCTGCTTCGTGCTGTGCTTTGCTCTCGTTGCTTGTGCAGCGCGTTCTCGTGCATCCTCTGCTGCTTCGAGACTCACCTGAAGGTCGTGGCGAAGACTATCGCAGCCAACTTCGGTTTCCTGTACAATGCCAAGGGGCGGGCGGTCTTCCTCATCTTGTGAGAAATTGTTGTTACAGTTGTTGTTGTTGTTGTTGTTGATGTTGTTGTTCCGATCCCTCTGACGCTGTTCTCCCCTCGTCGTCTCCCTGCACGCTCAAAAGTTCTCGTCGTTGGTGGGAGCTACTATGTCTACAGCTACTTGATCCGATGATGGGCGCAAACTATCACATACTCTCGCACCTTTCCTTCACGTCCTGTTTTTTCCTCCCTTGCCTTCTTCACTCCATCCCTCGCCCTGCTTGCCTGCAACTGTACCTTCAGCGTGGGAGTCTTATGCTTCAGCTTGAATTCGGACATCGCGTTTGTTGCCGGCGCGTTGATGATGGTCAACGCCGTCTTCAACTTCTACGTTATCTTCAAGGTGCGCTTCTTGGCGCGCCCTGGCACATTGATTGGTGGAATGAGCGCAACTAAAGTAGGCCATTGTTGCGGCCGTGTGGTAAACGCGCGCGAGAGAGAAGATGGACTGGCGAGGCCGAGCGCGCGCTAGGGTTGGGGGGGTTTTCCTCTGTGGACAGGCACCCCTTCCCGAACGATTTGTAGACGGAGAGCACGCGGAGGAGGTTAGATGGTTTCGATCTGGTCTGCAAATTCGCTCTCCGGACTGTGCTCTTGTGTTCCCGTGGTTCGTTTGGAGCCTCGACCCTCGGCAGTGGAGAGTTCTCCGCGGCCGGTTGGAGCATCCTTGTTATTGTTGACGTTCCCCTGGGTCCAGCTCTTTGCCATTCACACACACACACACACACGAAAGAACATGTGGAGAGAGTCGTATTGGCATTCGCATCAAGCGCATTGCGCATTTTTCGAATTTTGGCCCCCTTCCAGGGACCTTGATTTTTACCCGCTTGCACTGACGTCTTTTAGTTGGTCAGCCGGTTAGCGCGGTCGATGCTAATAATAAAAACACACACACACACACACACACACACTCCCGCTCTCGCCGTTTTTCTTTCGCGCGCGAGTCGCGCCTCTCGCTTCGTGCCCGATGTTAACGTTGCGCATATCGCACGCCTCCTCGGTTTGCTTGCCTCGGCTTGTCCGGCGTCGAACGAAACTACAACGACGGCAACAACAACAACAACAACAACAAATACAACGTGGCCAGTACCCGGAGTTCGAGCGGGACCTCCAGCGGAAAGACTTGGAATCGGAGGGAAGGGACTACCTTCGGGCGAACCGCGGAGCCCTCGCCCAGGCTGGGGTCGAGTTCGCACGTAACAACCCGGATCTTACCCGCAAGGTATGCATACGTACGTGGAGGTGTAGAACGCCATCCCCGAGGTGCGATCAGCCCCGTTGGACTCTTTTCCTTAGCTTTTGGGAGGAGAAATCTGGATCGTTCCGTATCTTCCACTATCTCGAGAGAGAGGAAATTTGTGTTTTTGTAGAGGTCTCTGGGAGGACCCCCCGTCGTTCGCTCGGCTTGCGCGGTACGGCCCCCTTTTTTTTTCTGTTTTCCGTGTGTTAAATCGCTGGAGTTGCACGTTGGGATTTTGTGCCGGGAGTGAGGGGGTGCGGAGGGCGCGTGCTATAAATAGAGTGCGTTTACCGTTTGCGCTCGGTCGGGCTTAGGGGTGACGCGCGTGGAGAATTCCCGCGGTGGGTGGGTACGGAGCCAAGGCAGTCATAAACTGTCGCAAACAGCGTCACTCCTCCCTAGCCGGCCTTTTGCCACGAGCAGAAACAACCCTCGCTCATGACGCCCCATCTCCTCCCCCTCCCCCCCGTTTTCGTCTTGGTTGTTGACGGTTGTTGGTTGTTTTGTTCTGTTTTTTTTTTTGCAACTCGGCCGAAACAGGGGGCTCAGGCAGCAGCCTCAACCTACGTCTGAGTTACCCTCACGGCAAGAACAATGACGGTCCCAATACGGACCAGGAAATGTCGGGGGATCGGGGAAGGGAAGCTTTGCTACCGGCCATATCCATCGTGCTCCGGAATACTGTAATGTCGTTAGTGCTGATTGCTATGTATGCTAGAGGATGTGCCCCCCCCCCCCCCCCCCCCCCCCCCCCCCCCCCCCCCCCCCCCCCCCCCCCCCCCCCCCCCCNATGATGCTCTGCGTCCGCTCACCGAAGTCGACTTTGTGGGGTCCCAAATATATATTTTAGCTACGTCCGGGGGGGGGCTGCTGCTACTGGTGTATCGTACTGCTGTGGTTCTCTGGATTTTGTGTAGTTAATGTTTTTTTCGATGAACAGTAAGGCGTGAGCGATTCGCGCTCAGGTCCTCGTACTGCCCGCATTTATTAAAATCTATCGTGCGACGGGTGGGGGGAGGGTGCAAGAGGTGAACGGTTTGTGGCGAACGAGCGGGTGGGATACACAGACAGCTAGCTGTTGCTGTAGCTATACGCGTGTTGTTTTTCTGCCCCTTCCTTGGTTCACGTTTCTTGTCACACTAAAAGATGAAACGAATACGTTTTGCCTGCATGGAGGAAGAGAGACGGGACTCCTTTATGCTCTCCTAGAACCGCAGTCAAGAAGCAGCAGCAGCAGCAGCAGCAGCCACACACTTACAGCCGGTGGACACTGAGCGAGAGCAAGCGGTACTGCGGGGGAGGAGTCGAAGTTGGTTGTCTGTGTACGAACAGTTTTGGCTACCTCATTTTGACCAGGACGGATTTAGAAGACGTACATACAAGGGAGATGGCACGAAATGGGGGGTTGGAGGGGGGGGGCTTGCGCGAGCTGCCGATTCCGACGGCGTAGCGCTCCATGGCCACCTGAGAGACCGAGGATGAAAACGAAGTCGTTCATCATGCATACCCCTTCTTTATCTTCACAGTCAAATCCAATCGGCTCAAGAGAGTAAAGGACGCGGTCAGCGGTACGTAAACCAACCACAAACCGTTTCGGAGCAGGTGGTCTGAAATTGAATTTCTACATCTCGACACTCACTGCTGCGGTATTGTTCACGTCTGACGGTTCGTCAAGACCCTATATAGCGTCGCAAAGACGTCTCGCGCGGTATATGTGCGTACGGCACGCAACAACAGCAGGGTAGGGTGCAGCGCTGCATTGCTATTTATTCCCTGTATCGATCAACCGCACTCGATTGGGCATCCACACAGACACACCCCGCCGATGATCAGTGTTACCTGTGAGTGCGATTCGCCCAAAACCACATATGCCTCCCGCTAGTGTTGGGCTTAAAATACTTTCAAATCTTCTGTCGCCGACGGACCGCAGAAACGTGCCAAGCTCTTGACATAATTTCAACAGCAACAAAGAAAAAAGACAGAACAAGAACAATTTTAACGCGCCCGGGACAGCATGCAGCATCAACACTTCAGCTCTAATAACTAATAATACCTAGGCAAGCGGCATAACAATACGTACTTCCCTCAAGTATAGCCACACATCGAAACGTACGACCGCTCGAACAAGCTGTAACTGTAAGCCAACGCATGAAGCACCTTCCACCGTCACCACCTATCGTGCTTGCCATAATGCTAACGACGAGCAATCTTTGTTCTCGAACAAGCTTCAACCCCCGCCCCGGTCAGGCCATTTTCGAACCATCCCCGCCTGTTCTCTTCCAACTACCAGACTAGTAGTGTCTGCCTTCTCTAAGCTAGTTCGGGCAAAAATCCTTCCCCACTAGCGAAATGAAAACATATGATTTTCTGGCGGCACCGGAACTTATCTATACCGTGTGTCAACCAACGCCTGGTCCCCGTGCCCGCTAACAACAAAAAAGAGTGCTAAAAACACACACATGATAGGCGCGGCGAGTAAAAAAGGCGAGTATCAGGGGGGGGGGGGCGGAGGGGGGGCTGTTCTTGTGTGCCTCTTGGCTATCCCTTAATCCAGCTGGTTGGGAAAATGAAATGAATGAAGTCAAACCGTAGTCAATGACCACCAGAATTTCCAACCACATCTACGTGCATTCCATCGTCCGACCCCCACAGGTTCCCCCCGGCCCCTCTCGCCGACCCACATCGGTCTCAACGGCTCATAAGACCGGATCAGGTCCTCCAATAGTAGCTCAGGATCTCTCACACACGCATTAGACAGCTAGATGGCGTATACACCGGAACACGCACGACAAAGTGAAACGATTCAGGAAACTTCGACCGATGACATTCTTCGCTGCCCACAGCCTCTTAGCGACCTTCGTCAAACGCGGGACGTGTCCGATTGATCAGGCAGCGGCAGCGGCAGCGGCAGCAGCAGCAGCAGCAGCAGCTCGTGGTGGCCACGACGATGCTCGCTCACGGGCTGGCTCCTTCCCAGCGGCTACTCTTTGCCCGGCTGCTCTTGCCTGCCGGCCGGTATGGTACGACGCGCTCTATGCCGTGGATCAACCCAAACGCCGCTTTTACAGCCACAAAACAAAGTCCGGCCGATGCAGTGAGTGGTACATGGCGGGGGTTGCTTCAAGAGCAAAGTATACCACAAACACCGGCCGATAGATCGATAGATCGACAGACCGCCAGTTCTATCTTCTTTTGGAGGGGGCGGGTTGCTTCAAAAGCAAGGTGGACCACAGACGCCGACCGATAGATCGATAGATCGATGGACCGCCATTTCCATTTTTTCTCCGCTCATGCCTCGTGCTCGAAGTAGCTGTGCGCGTACAGCATGACCGCAAACGACAAGCCCGTCGTGACGGACGCCTTGATGATGGAGGAGTCCTCAATGGCCTCCGAAAACAACTCGAAACAAGCTACCCAGAACATCGCCCCCGCTGCGAAGCCAAGCCCGATCTGTTTTTCCAGTTTCCGTGGGACATTTTTGCGCGTTCAAAGCAGTTTTGTTTTGTCATTAGGGGTGAGTGGGTCGGTTGGGGGGCGAGGGAGACAAAACACAACAGAGGAGCGCCCATATGGACCATCGCGTCAGGCGGCAGCGTGTGTGGTCGGTGGGAAGGACCCATGCGTGGGCAAACGGATGAGTTCCGGTCCGGGGGGGGGGGGGGGGGGG